TTATTATTAATAATTGTATCAAGAACAACTATATACTTCCTCTACTGTCTCGCTGGTGCTGCGGGGCCGACCTGCGGCGCTTATCACAAACCATAGCTAGCTACTCACATTACTCATTATTTCACCCTGCGCGGCCCGCTCGGCGGCCTGTCCGCCCGTTGTGGTGTGCCCTACACCTTGGTCCTCTTCGGTGTATTTTCACCAATGATGAGTTCGACACGAAAAACAAAATTGACACACACGTCAGTTTGACTGAAACAGGTCCTTTCTTAATGTGACGTCACACACTTAATGTCTCGTCCATTTCACTCGAGGATATGGTACACGTTTGGGCCCTTTAGTTCTTGTTCTAGCTGTCTGCCGGTCAACCACGGCGGGCAGGCATCACTCCTTGGGCACGACCGACACGTACACGGGCCTGTACAGCACGACGGTCTCCTGCGGGAGGCTGGTGCTGCCGTCGTACACCTGCCCCAACAGGAACTCGGGGCCGATGTAGGTGCCGCCCTCAACGTGCTCGCTCGCCACCTCTAGAGAGAGAGAAATAAGACTGTTCAAGTGAAAACGGGAGGCACATGCGGTACCACTCACTACAAGCACTGGACCCGTACGCACCGTATTGAATGTTGGGCTGCTGCGGACTGTTGGGGATCCGGAACGGGACCGTGGCGATGGTCAGCGGGAAGTGCATCTGCAGGTCGTCGCCCGAGCGCTCGAACTCGAGGTTGACCTTGAGCACGTAGTAGATCTGCAGCAGCCGGCACACGCCGACCAGGGAGGGTGGCATGACGGGCAGGCGCAGCGTCCCGCCCGAGTCCCAGGTGCGGTGCGTGTGCGGGCCGACCTCCTCGCCGCGGTACTCCAGCACCAGGTGCTGCAGCTCCTTGGTCACGCCCAGCATGCCCCGGTCGATGAAGTACTCCACGTACTGGACGGGCGCGACAAACGATTAGAGAGCGGTAAAAAAACCAAGGGAGTACTTCAGTCACAAAAATAAATTCAGTGCACTCCCTCAAAACAAAAC